AAATTTTAGTTGTTTATATACATGTTGGTTAATTATAAAGTGATTGAATTGGTCTTGAAGGACTCAAACATTTTGAGGATGTCTTGAAAGATTAAATTGATTCAATCATCTGCACGTAATTTAATTTGAAACTATATAAAAAATTATTACATTTAAAAGTTTGTTATACTAAAATTACTAATCGCGTTTTATATGTTTTTACATGTATATATATATATATATATATATATATATATATATGTGAAGTAAATTTTAAAATTTGTTGTAATGCGAATTTAATTATAATTCGTTAAATGGAAATAAAAAAATAAATAAAAATGAGCATGTGTAACATTTTAGAAATGTGATTAAAAATTTTCAAAAACCAATCAAAAAATTAGTTTTGTGTGATGATTTGAAATAAGATCGACAAAATTTGGCCAATAAAATGGCTTGTTTTACAGTGTCCATTATGCTATGTATATATCAATCAACATCTCTTTTTAATCTTTTATCTTTTATCTTTTATCTTTTGTCTGTCATTCCTTTTCCTCATATAATAATCAATAAATGATAAATTTATAACATAGCATAGAAATGTGATTAAAAATTTTCAAAAACCAATCAAAAAATTAGTTTTGTGTGATGATTTGAAATAAGATCGACAAAATTTGGCCAATAAAATGGCTTGTTTTACAGTGTCCATTATGCTATGTATATATCAATCAACATCTCTTTTTAATCTTTTATCTTTTATCTTTTATCTTTTGTCTGTCATTCCTTTTCCTCATATAATAATCAATAAATGATAAATTTATAACATAGCATGTAGTTAAGTAAATAACAATAACAACAACATATAACTAACATTTAAAAACAACAACAATGTAACTAACATTTAACAACAACAACAATATAGAATAATAATTACTAATATAATAACCAACAACAATACTATTATAAAGAAGTGTCAACCTTTTTTTTTATGTTATATATAATTTTTTTTTATATTATATATTATATATAATTTTTTTTACTATATATAATTTTTTTATTTTTATATTAAGAATTGTTGTTGTTGTTATCATGTCTGACAAACTTGAACAAAGACTTGATCATGTATTAAACATTTCACAAAGTAATGCAGAGACTGTAAAAACTCAGGCAAGGTTGATACATGAATTAATTTTAAAATTTTCATCATGCCAACAATCATCCAAGCACAAAATATGTACATCAGAAGGTGCTGAATTAAATCACAAAGAAAACTGGCTGTGTCCAGTCCTACCATGTACAAAACATTGGAGTGATGGCCACAGTAGAGACAAATCATTTTGCAGTTATGACACCCACATTTGAGAAGCATTTAACAACTGTTATAGAATTAAATTCATGTATTGCCCCTATATATTTATCAAATTTTGAAATTATTGACACTATATTGAGGGCATAGAGAATAATGTTGAAAAGCATTGGATGTACTAATATAAAAAAACATATCAAATGTGAGAATTTTTAAACAAATTTTCTTATTATATAACTGATAATTATTAACCTTCTATTAATAATCAATGGAATAGCTTGAATTATGGACACATGCAACGGAGGCATCAAATGGTTGTGCTTTGATCTTTCAAGTGGTGTTACATATAACCAGTTGATTGTGGAACTATCAGAAAAGAACTCCAAACTTCAAAATAAATTGTGGTGTGGTTTAATATTTCAATTCAAATGAAAAATTGTGAATAATTTTTATTAAAAATTCATAATCAAATTTCATTAAAACTTTTTTTCTAGGCTTCAAATAATTTAATAATTGCAGCAACACATCCAGGTCCATTAAGAAATGTCCAAAAAATTTAATAAAAAAAAGGCAAGCAAGAAAATTAAATCTCTATTGATATATAATTGATATTTTAATATACATAAAATTTATACTGAGATATTTTTCATGTGATATTAATATGGTTTCATATCATAACCAGTCAAGGTGTAAAGAATTTACTTTCAAACTACACATTTGTTTAACAATTTAGAATGCTGAATGAAATAAGAAACCCTTATTTCATAAACTAATCAAATGATTAAAAATACAAATACAATTCAAATAGGTAAATCATCAGTCATAAAAATGGTTACCATACATTATACCTGCACTCAAAGGTAAAGTTGTAATCCAAATTGCTAAACAAGATCTTTCTTTTAACCAGGTGGGTTAGGTGGGTAATTAAAGTTGCTTTCAAGAAAATTTTTGAAGAAGCAACCTGTCCTTGGTAATTTGGTAGTCATATATATAGTAATAATATTTTATTTTTCCAAAATGTAACTTGCAGTATCATCTGATCTTGAATGAAAATCATGTTTTCCTGATGTACAAAAA